TTGAGGGGTATACTTGTCAAATTTATGATTTATCAAAATATATATTTAGGATGTATACAATTCAGTACAGAGTACACATATTGTTGTGTTAGTTGTGACTTTTGAACAGTGATTTAACTTACAAGCTTTTATATCAATTCAATTTGGAGATTTGTTACAACAAGATCAGGTCAGTTTCAACTTTTTTTTCTTTTGAAATAGGATAAATACTAAATGGATATTGAAAACTTAAAAAAAAAAAAAGAAAAAAGGGGAAATAGGAGAAAGAGAAACTTTCTAATTCCTATTTTACCACATTTTACTTTATCTTGAGTCATTTCAAAATCATCATGGTTGCTGATATTGTAGTCAAATAACTTCTGCCATGTGCTGATAAAACTGAACTTATTAAAAGAAGTCTTCCTTAAAAAAGGTTAAAAAAACATTAAAATTAAGAAATCAATGTCACAATTGTAATAATGTTTAAAAAAAAAAATGCTACAAGATGAACAACGCAATGATGAAAAAATGGCATGTTAATTTTTACTAGTAATATTCTGTAAAGAAATCGCACGAATTAACCTCAAATAGTTGTCAGATTTCTTTTCTAATACTCACAATAGTTACTTAATGTATTGATTTCTGAATTTTATACAAAATAATATTGTTTTTAAATAGCAACCATTTTAGATGAACTATTGAAAGAACAGGTTCATGTTTGACTCCATAACTATTTCGTTCAGAAATTTGAGTAAAAAAAATTTATGGCTGACATTGCATGTGTTTAATTTGCTGATATTGCAAATTTTAATCTGAGTTCGGCCATTATGTTTATGGAGACTAGTTATTTGGTTAATTGTCAAAGCCAGCTCTACTATAAATCAATTCCTTTGGTTTTACTTGTTTTCTGCATTTCTTACAAAAGCCACTTAGCATCACATGCAAAAATAAATCATCTGATTTTTTGTCCTTGATAAAATTACGTAAATTGAACATTTCAGAAATTTAACAAAAATCCCTATGATCACGGACTGTGATCTCCAAGAGTCAATATCACCATGAACTAAATCCTTGATCAATTGCAATGTGACAGACAATTAAGAAAAAACAATTTGAGCTGACATACCACAAACATTCATAGAAACCGGATTATAAGATCTAATCGTTCTGCCATATTTTTTTACCTATCAAGCTTGCATCGATTAGAGTCACTCTACCTGCAGAATCGTTATTGTTATACTAAGGTCTTTCGGTAATTTGCAATTAGTTGTTCAGTTTATCGGAATTTTATAAAATTATTGTTGATGGTAAAATCACGAACCTGATGGTTAAGAAATTCATTATTGATGAAAAAATTGATTAAGAAATTGACTGACTCAATTGATGGAGTTGTGTAAGTACTTTTTATATATAGTGATAATCTGGGTATTTCTAATGATTTCAAGGCGAAATCTATTTCATTTTGGAACCTTTCAAGGTGAACGAAGCAGTTAATTGGACAAATAATACTGATTCTTTTAATATTATATAGTCAATTAAAAATAAATTATGGTTTACTTCAGTTCAGATTTGAAAAATATCTTGTAATCTTTTTTACAGTGGTTTAAGGCCAATCACCCGGATTTCCCACCTTGTTAAAACATCTATTTTATTTCTGAAGTGCTGCAATATTGAATTATGTAACATTTTGTTGCACTGAAAATCTGAGGTGGCCTCCCTTGTGAAAATGATAATTAAGTTATGTAATTTTAACATTTTGTAGCTACAACTAGTAAAATAAACTAGTGCAAAATTGAACTTCATATTTTCATGTCTTAGATCATATTAACCTAATTAAATAAATAACAAATATGGATGACTGGGCGATATCTCTCCATCAATGACTCCATCTTAATTTTTTTGGGGTTATATAGTATTAACAGTATAATTATTAAAGTTAAAGATTCAATATTTCTCAATCCATCATATTTATATAATTAAAGTCACTCAGAGGTTATTCCAGGGTAACATTTGTAATAATTATCGCCCAGTAATCAAAATAATCGCCCTGAGTTATAAATTATCTGTCAATATCTATATCTGAAAACAAATTATGGGATAATACAATAATATCACATGATCATATATACTTACAAGGACGGGACAGATTGGAAACATATAAGCCCAACACAAGGGGAAATACCAAGCAGATATATTGTGCATCTAATGCATTTTTCATCCCTTCAATCAAACTGATGTTTTGAAAACTAATTAAGTTGCAGACTTTGTAAACAACAGAAATCTTCTGCTATCATATCTGGCACAGTGTAAAACATAGTAGAACCATCTGATCATGATATTAATCAAGAATATAGGAAGACAAGATCAAAAGGTCAGAGATGGATATAGAGGGTCCTGAGAGGACTGGCCAATGTAAAGAAGAATGGACAAGAATTAAAAAAAATCTTCCTTTAATTTATCAGGATTAAATCACATTTTAAAGGCTCTTTGACTTTAAGAGTAAATGTATAAAGGATTCTAAAATGAATACAGCACTTGGTATATCTAAAATTGTAAGCAGGGGCGGATCCAGCCATTTTTAAAAGGGGGGTTCCAACCCAGGATAAAGGGGGGGTTCCGACAAAATGTCCACATTCCGCATTGATCATCAAAAAAAAGGGGGGTTGGAACCCCAAGAACCCCCGCCCCCTTGATCCACCACTGGTAAACTCATGTAAAATGAAGATCTAACTTAAAAAAAAAGTCATAAGCAATGCATGTATATGTGAAATTAATAGAATGAAACTTAAGAGACAAAAATATTCACATTCTCGTTGTTCATGATTCTGCAAATAGTATCCAGTTCTTCTTCTGATAACCTTTTCTTTTTCTGTCTAGGAAATTCTAGGAAACTTTAAACTTCTTGAAACCTGCAATAATATTTCAATACATGTAAAATTAATATTTTTCTCACAGTAATAAGCAATTTAGTGTACGGACAGATTTAAGAGCAATGGTTTGAAAGCATATATATGAATATGAAGCTTTACAATTTTTTTAACATGTTGGAAGATTATAAACATCAGTCCCTGGGTCACCCTCTTTATCCCCTTTCCCTCCTCTATCCCCCCCAAAAAATAAAAAAAATTCTTGGGCTTCTGTATATGCCATAATTATATCTTGACATTTCTTCTAAACTGACCTGTTGTTTGACACTTAATAGGGCACCTACAACAGTATATTATCTTCTGATCCTATCTTATCACAACAAAATGGACTTAACATAAATTTCATGGTCAATTCACTGGTCAATTTCAATGGTCATTTACCTTAAACTGACCTTTTATTCTATTGCTTGTGAAGTAGTGTATTTATTTGATAATTTATAAACTTGGTAGTTACGGTATGTGTGGCATAGAGAGTATTGTCTAGTGATAATAGTAGAATGGAATGCCTTTACAGCCGGTATGATTCATTTCTATAGTAAATATTGAGAAATAATGGATAAAAAAGGGGGGAGGAGGTTTAAGACTTCAGTTAAAAAGAGGGACATGCAAGCCTTGCATAATAGTTTTGGAACCAAGAGTAAAGAAGAAGTGTTCTAGGGTTACTCAAGTTAAAAAAATTCAAGCAAACTGCAATATACTTTATTACTATTTATCCACCATTGACAATGTCAGGGGTCACAATTGATTTTTTTCATGGCCATAAGACATCCTATTTATCCACCACTAATGGACATCACATTTATTGACCTCACAATAGAAAATGTCTGATGCCACAAAGGGAAAGTGATTGTTGTGTAACGTCAATAGTTCAAGTGTGGCAGATTCCCAAATAGCAATATGGCAAAAATGTAGTGGCGTAATATTTGGTCAGCTGCAGAGAATCTACAATGGGGATGAGGTCTTTTAGAGAACATCTTTCTCTTTTATGAGGGATGATTTAAAAACATTATGATATATGCCTGAGATACATTATTTCATTTCACATACTGAAATAGTGTCTGTGAGGATTGAACATCTAGAAAAATCATTTCTGTTTGAAAATGAAGAAAATATATTAGCCATTTTAAAGATATTACGCTTGATCTGAGCTTACAGCTGTTGTAAAAGTGATTTAAAACAACTGCATTAGACTGTGCAATGGGTTTTATGTACAATTTGCACTAAATGATTACTTTTACTTTGTCAAAACAATTTCTCTGAAAACAATTATTCAAATTTATCACCAAGTAAAACAATTATCTCTCGGCACCCTGAGAGCCATATGGACTGTATAATCATACAATTACTAGTTAATATTGCGAGTTAATTATTTTTCAATAATTAAAATCTGACTTAGAAGAATAATTCTAAATGTGATTTGGTGAGTAACACAGCTACAAAAATAGAACTGACCATTTGCGAGAAAATTGATTCACAAATAACTGGTTTATGATGCAAGGTAAATTTCCAGACTAATTCAATTAATTAAGTAGATCCAAGAAGAAAAAAGGGGTGGGGGTAAGTATCTCAAAACAGCGAATCTGAGATTCAGTTAGTTTGATAAGTAAAGCCAGAGGAGTCATGGCAAACAATACAGGTAACTTTGGAAAAATCACACCCGTAGCTAGAGGGTTTGGATGACCCTTCCCCCAAAAAATAAAAACCAACAAAAAAATAACCAAATTTTTACCTAAACTAAAGTTGAGATTAAGAATGAAGTTTGTCATTAAAAGTGGAGTGTCATGACCCCAAATAACCCTGTCAGAAACATCCTGGCTACAGGCCTGAAATTAACTAGAAAAATGCGTTCAAACTTCTTTCGCAACCAGTTGAGTACACCCTGCTATTAATATAGATGTATGGATACATTGGTAAAAAGAAAATGCAAACAGCTTCTGTTGTATGGGAAGTTTACATTACATACAATAGTACTTTTTAGTACCTGTAATCTCTGAACACAATACTTGAGACAGTGTGTCTGAAAGTTTGCTCTTTTGAAATTTAATTCAATTTTATTCTATTTTAGCTTGAACCATTACTTTCTTTCTTTTACAGAAATGACAATTTAAGTTGGAACAGGATAATTTAGTTGGAAAAGAAAAGAATTATGCACATGTTGTGAACCGTAAGTATAGTAAATATCCATTTAACAATATTACTAGGTGCCCTGATGGCCAAACGATCTTAGAAGTTCATTTACAGTGATCATAAGCCAGTCAACACTGAGGTTGCAAGTCCTAACCCTGCTCATGGCAAGGTGCATTCAACTCTGATCTTAATTGACTAGGGCTTTATAGAGGTTATTCCCTAGTAACTGAACAACTGCTCATTGTTAAATGTCGCTTATATTTGTTCCTTCAAACTGGTCTTTGGCATGAAGCTGTCATGCCAGGGATACAACACATATATTTTCATTTTTTTATTCTGTGAATTTCTGAGGGAAAACTTTTAAAAAATTCAGATATTGAAATACCAATCTTTATACCCTCTCAGGAAATCAACCTTTACACCCTCTCAGGAAAACCAACCTTTACATCCCTTAGGAAATAGAAATACAAATATCAATCAGGACTTAATTTATTATTTTTGGAAAATGAAACCAAATTAATGCTACACAGATTTTGACGTGACTATGTTAAGGAAGCATGAGGCACAAATGAGAAAATAGGAGAAAAGCATATGTCAAGTCACAGTTTTAAAGTGTTAGATCTATAGATTTTCTATCTGCGTTTTTACAAGTCAAGGAAATAACTGTTTACATAACAAAATATCTTAAAGGTAAAAAAATAATAAATTATCCTTTCTACATGCTTAATGGACATGACAAAACTTAAAAGGATAAAAAGACCTCTTTTAAACATCATTTAAAACATATATTTTAAGGCTAATTGACCTTTGACTCCTACATTCAAATATTTCAAAATATTTTAATGGTTATTCCCTGTATATGAAGGGTATCTTGTCTATTTACTTAACTAAAATCTTAACAAAAACGTGAATATAAATGGTCCTAAAAACTGTGTTGAATTGCAAGCTTATTAATTCAAATTTATACAAATTTATGAGGCATTTAATTTATGGAATTCTGTCAACATTTATCAAAAGTTAGCGGATACGTGTAAAATTTTAAAGTGCTTTTTCTTTTGTCTGCATGTTGAAGATGATCTTTATACCTATAACAATAAAACCATTTTTCAAGATCTCCGTATATTTTTATATGTTTAGGTGTGTAATATTAGACCCTATCAAAATTTAATATTCAGACTATTAAACTACAAGTATAACTGGCTTCCATCCAAGCTTTTGAAAAAAGTGCATTAAAGATTTGACAGTATGATAAATGTAAACATACTTGTTGTGCATGTTACGTACTTGTTTTTATATATATAACATTGCAAAACAAAAGGGTTTTATAAATTATGTGTTTAGTTCAGATCAGGAATTTTGTATCAAACTGTAAAAAATATTGGACATGCTTACTTGCAATCAGAAACTTCATATTGAATTTACAATTCTTATGGACTAACTCATTAAATTCGCAGGTTTAACATGTTCAAATTACCTTTATTGCATAAAAAAAGTTAATTGACTAAACCTAAAGCTTCAGTTTCAATTAGTATGGCCATGCAACTTGCATGCTGTATCCAGCAAAAAGAAATCAACCTATATGCAGATTTGTAAATTCGAACCAAAACCATAGCTGAGTTAACCAATTTTCTTGGAAGTGGTCAGTTTATATAGAACTGTTTTAGAAAACCTCCTGTATTTGAACCAAAATTCCTGACTTGGAACGCAAAAAAACCCTAAGATAAAGTCACCTGAAGGAACTTGTTTCATCTGCATCATTCTGACTTCAATAGACTATTTTCATGTTACTGACTTTTGACTCCAGAGTATATAATTTTTTGACAGGTTACTTACTTTGTGGTAGGACAATCTGGTACTAGCTAGGTCAAGTAAAAGCAACTTAAAAAAGTTAAATCAGGCTTACAAACGGTGCAATTCGGGGCAAACAATCACTGATTTCTGATGATTTTGTCATCTATAGAAAACATAAAACAGTAAATCCCCCCCCCCCCCCTCTTCCAAAATAGTACGGATTGTAAACTTGCTATTTAGTTCTTTTAGTTGCTCTTAAATTCTTATCAATTGTTTAAACAGCTCTTGATAGAATTCAAATTAAACTTATCAGTTTCTGGAACAAGGTTAACACTTGTATGCATTTTGTTGTAAATGATAATTCTGGGAAAAACCAAAGTGCATATGCAGCACTTATCACATAATTGATCTTAAAGAATTTAAATGCCTTAAGCCACTCATTTAAATGACTTCAATTTTCTAACTTAATTCTGAAGAAAATCCTAAATGCTAGGCTTTCATCTCTTAATTAAACAAACAATCTTCGAAATGCAGATTGCAGAAAATTACAAGTTTTACAAATGCTCTCTCTCCACAAATTTGAACACAAATCAGGAATTTAATAGAAACTTAATTGCAATATAAAGTCAGTCCATAAATCTGGTTACTTAATCAAAAGGTCAATTTTTGTTTAAATTGCCATTTTTCAACAATAAGCCAGAATAACAGAAAATTCTCACCACAGATTTACCTCAGACCTCCTTAAACCAAAATAGAAACTATAATGTTCTCATCAAATTCTTAACTGCTTCCAAACACTTGATGCTCACAATCAGAATTATTCAACAGTTCAATCCTCTTTATACAAAGAGCTTGATTGATTCTGTAAGAATATAACATTATTGGCTTTTATTATTTAAACTTTATTCTAAATGTTCAATTCATGAGGGTCTGGATGGGTGGGGGTCCTTCATTTCTGTATTCTTTAATTTTTCAGGCCATTTTTCTCTATTCTTTATACTTTTTGCCCATTATTCTCTATTCTGTATATTCTAGCCCCTCATTATTCTCTATGCTTTATATTTTAGCACCTCATTATTCTCTATTCTTTATTTTTTGGGGCAATTTTTCTCTTTTCTTTATATTTTTTGCCCATCATTCTCTATTCTGTAAACCCCCATTCACACCCTCATTCATATGCTTAAATACAAATAATTACAGATTAATAAATAGTAGCCTTTTGATTTTTGATTTTTACTTTTAAATATATACTAATATCATGAAAATATGTTTGGAATTCATAAAAATGTATTTTTTTCTATCTTGATTGTGATATTGGAAATCCATTATGACTGAACACTTGGTAAAGGTTTTTTGTGTATTTCAATAATACATACATTTGTATTTTATAGTTATTTCTTAACTGATTATTTGATATTCTGTGGCTGTAAAAGTTTTCTTTTAATACTGAAGTAAACTTTTGTTTAGGTGTGTTGAAACTTATTAAAAGTATGAAGAATTTCTCTTGGTAAAGAATCTTACAGTAACAGAATTTTATTCAATGCTCCTTTTATTTTAGTTTTCCGCTAGTTTACATGTTGATGTCTCAGCTGCATCTTAGCATAGATGCTAGAACACCTCATTTCTTAACATATCCCCGAGTCCCTTTTAAAAAGTTTCCCAATCTGTGCAGTCTTTCCTAGGTCCTTTTTTCATCTCTTCATCAAACATATAAGTATGAATGAACTTTATGTGAGCAAAAGGTCAATATTGTTGTTTTTAGCTTAGCTTTGAAATAAGAGTCTTACTTTGCCTTTTAATTTGTTAATATACATAACAGCAGCATGTAAGAGCAAATAAAGGCAAAGTATTAAGCATGAAATAATTAATATAAAGATAAAAAGATGTGGCATAATTGCCAATGAGACAACTCTCCACAAGAGACCAAATGACACAGAAATTAACATGTATTAAGGTCTCTGTACAGCTTTCAACAATGAGTAAAACTCATACGGCATAGTCAGCTATAAAAGGACCAGAAAAGACAAATGAAAAATAATTCAAACGAGTATACTTTGCATTAAGGTAAAAAAAGTATTTTGCTATCGAAGTGGATGAATATTTATGGCATTAAGAATTCTAACGTCTACTAAGTTTGCTGTATATACAGAAACTTTCATGAAAAACAACTTTGGACATGCATTAGGATACATTTCAATATAATACATGAATTAAGTGTGCATGTTGACAATAATATAACAATCAACTTATAGCATAATCATGTACTTATTTTCTGCATATGTTTTTTTGTACTTTTAGATCAATGTTCAAGTTACCCTTCCTATACCTTTGTCTTGACCTCTACCTTCATCATGGCTTTCACTTTTCCATGATCTCACTTTTTCCATGACCTTTCTGTCAGGAAATTCTATATCTGTGGCTATGAATATAATCTTTTTTCCTTCCTGGAAGGAAACAAAATGTACATGTAATTTTAATAAAGTCCACAGTGACTATGCATGTCAACAACATTATATCTGAAATGATCTGTATACATTCGTACCTATACAAGGTAAACATGTTTAAAAGTTTTGAACAGAGGTTCGAGGAATGTATGTAAAGATTTTATTGAAAACAAATTTGAGTCATCATTGATTTATGCGATATAATTGATAATACTATAGAAGCCATAATAAAGAATGCATCTGATATACATTTGCGATCGTACATGTTTAGAATTAATGCAATCATGGATAATGGCTTGCATTCTTTAATTTTCTTTTGACAATATGTCTCATCATGAAACTCATTGTAAGATGTTCTTTCCTCCAGAATATTTGAAACTACATAACATTTTGAAATTCATTTAGAAGAAAAAAATTAACAGAAATGAATTGCCTTAAGTGAATATATTTATTTGTGTACAATTTATTTATATAAAAAATAATTGTTCATTTTGGTATCAAGAGAAATACAAATTTGGCATACTAAATGTACACTAAATTTAGACACAATATAAATTAACAATGAACTTTGTTCCTTTTCAAGCTTTATAAATTTTAATGCATAAAAGAACAAGGGGCAGCTCAAGTGCCAATTGGTCAAAGTAAATAGTCATCATCTTGACCTAAACAAATATTTGTTTCAAACCACTGTAGGGGTTTTGATCTTGATGAAGTCACATACAAAAATGCAAAAAATTAAGTGATGTATATTCTTTCCTGGTATGAGATAGGGTAATATCCGGAGAAAATTATCTCTCTTTTT